ATGAGGCAGGTCCCTCGCGGATGGTGTCCCGTCGCGTGGCACCCTGTCGTATGTGACCCAGGTCGTGTGGGACCCTGTCTTGTGGGACCCTCCTGGGAACCCAGTGGCGATGGGAACCTAGCGTGTGGAACCCTATCTTTGGGATGAGGTGGGGCAACATCGGGAGGGACCAACAACATACGGCTCTCGCGACGACCGACCAAGGCCGATGCAGGCAGGAGTATGAAGTGAGACCCTGTGGTCAGCAACCTATGAGAACCCGTCAGAACAATACCAATTAGGGCGAGACCTCATGACTGGCATCATCAGAAAACCCCGCCGATCACGGCCACTTCACTGCAGCACAAGAGGGAAATCCTGAAGGCACACACGGTCTGAGGAGCAGCAGCAGCAGCAAGAGAGCGGAGACGAGGAGGAGGAGGAGGAGGAGGAGGAGAAGGAGGAGCGAGGAGGAGGAGGAGGAGGAGCAAGAAGCGAGGAGGAGCGACGAGGAGAAGGCGGAGGAGGAGAGGCGAGGAGCGGTGAGCGAGAAGGACGAGGAGGAAGACGAGGAAGAGTAGGAGTAGGAGGAGGAGGCAGATGGGAAGGGCCAGGCATAAAGGCACCTGATGCAGGGGCCCAGGGCTCGCGGGCAAAGGCCGAGCCGGGGGCCACTGGCGGGCCCGCCGGGCCAAGCTCGGCAGGGAAGCTCAGACCGATGCGTCCCCCGCAGCCGCGGGCAGCGGAAGCTGGGCGCCCAGCTTGGGTAAAGGGCTCGGGCCCTCGCGCCATCGCGGGAGGCCGAGCGAAAGAAGGCGCATCGGAAGCTGTGTGTTGGGTTTATGTTTTTTCTCCCAACCATCCTGTGGTGTTGGGTCCTCGTTTTGAAGAGACAGCGCCCCGCGTCTCCTCTCCTCTCCTCTCCTCTCCTCCTCCTCCTCTCCCCCCTCCTCCATCCTCCCATCGCCGTCATCATACTCATCGTCAACATCAACATCATCATCATCCTCATCTTCATCATCATCATCATCATCATCATCATCATCATCATCATCATCATCATCATCATCATCATCATCATCATCATCATCATCATCATCATCATCCTCGTCATCATCACCACCAGCATCATCATCGTCATCATCATCGCCATCGCCATTAGTTCCCAACCATCATGTCATCATCACCACCAGCATCATCATCGTCATCACCACCAGCATCATCATCGTCATCATCATCATCATCATCATCGCCATCGCCATTAGTTCCCATTTCCGCACACCCCTCACACGTTTCGTGGCCCCATAGGGAGCTCCACCGAAGGCCCCAGTGGCAGGGTTCGCATGCCGCCCCCACCCCACTTTGGCACACCCCTCACACGTTTCGTGGCCCCATAGGGAGCTCCACCGAAGGCCCCAGTGGCAGGGTTCGCATGCCGCCCCCACCCCACTTTGGCACACCCCTCACACGTTTCGTGGCCCCATAGGTAGCTCCACCGAAGGCCCCAGTGGCAGGGTTCGCATGCCGCCCCCACCTCACTTTGGCACACCCCTCACACGTTTCGTGGCCCCACAGGGAGCTCCACCGACGGCCCCAGTGGCAGGGTTCGCATGCCGCCCCCACCCCACTTTGGCACACCCCTCACGCATTTCGTGGCCCCATAGGTAGCTCCACCGAAGGCCCCAGTGGCAGGGTTCGCATGCCGCCCCCACCTCACTTTGGCACACCCCTCACACGTTTCGTGGCCCCATAGGGAGCTCCACCGACGGCCCCAGTGGCAGGGTTCGCATGCCGCCCCCACCCCACTTTGGCACACCCCTCACGCATTTCGTGGCCCCATAGGGTGCTCTACCGAAGGCCCCCGTGGCAGGGTTCGCATGCCGCCCCCACCCACTTTTGCACACCCCTCACACGTTTCGTGGCCCCATTGGGAGTTCCACCGACGGCCCCAGTGGCAGGGTTCGCATGCGTCCGCGCCACCCATGTCGACACACCCTTGACACGTTTCGTGGCCCCATAATGAGCTCCACCGAAGGCCCCAGTGGCAGAGTTGGCATGCCGCCCCTCGCCCATTTCGGCCCACCCCTCACACGTTTCGTGGCCCCATAGGGAGCTCCACCGAAGGGGCCCCAGTGGTTGCGTTCGCATGCGTCCCCACCACCCATTTCGGCACACCCCTCATACGTTTCGTGGCCCCATAGGGAGCTCCACCGAAGGCCCCAGTGGCTCCCGCACCACCCATTTCGGCACACCCCTCACACGTTTCGTGGCCCCATAGGGAGCTCCACCGAAGGCCCCAGTGGCTGCGTTCGCATGCCTCCCCACCACCCATTTCGGCACACCCCTCACACGTTTCGTGGCCCCCCTTCAGCTCCACCGAAGGCCCCAGTGGCTGCGTTCGCATGCCTCCCCACCACCCATTTCGGCACACCCTTCACACGCTTCGTGGCCCCATAGTATGAGAAGAGGGGCCTAGTTTGCGTGCCCTCTCCTTCGTCTCATATCCGTGCGGTACTCGCAGCTGCATATGGTTGGGTCCTTCGCCAGGCTAATCTGCTCCTCCCCCCAGCGCAGGACGCCACCAGCACCTCGTTTACTCGTCCGTGCCCGGGGGAGTGCGCGAAGTAGAGAGGGGGAAACGAGTGGGCGGTTCCGAAGCCCTGAGCCCCCCACAAGATGCTGACGTCTCGCGCACGCTGCTGCCGGGCGCACTCCCCGTGGCAAAGGCTCGCCGAGTAGCCGAACAAGGATCCCTGCCCCTCTTTGGGAGGGAACCTCAGTTAGGAGGGCCAAGTACATTGGGGATAAGGGGCTCTCTTCTGCACGCGTATCGAACCACACCGCCCAGATGCAGTATTCTCCCCGATGCGAAGACGGGGACCTCAGTGAGGCCACGTCTTCATCGTGTCATGCGTGTCAGGGGCCCATGTGGTTCCCAATGGTCCTCAACGCCCCAGCCCGCCGCCCGCGCTCCTCCCCTCGCAGCCGCCCTCCTCTTCCCTGGCGAAGCCCGCCGGCACCCGCCCGCGGTGCCGCCAGCAAAAAAAAACTCCTCCTGATCCTCCTCCTCCTCCTCCTCCTCCTCCTCCTCCTCCTCCTCCTCCTCCTCCTCCTCCTCCTCCTCCTCCTCCTGGAAACGACGGGGCCGTTTTTTTACCGGTTCCGTTTTGCCGTTTTTGTTGCCCGTTCCGACGCCATTTTTTTACCGGTTCCGTCGCGGTTTTTGGACCGGTTCTGGCTCCGGTTCCAATCCTGGAGCCGTTTTTATTGAGGTTTCCGGTCGACGTTTTTTTGCCGTTTCCATTTTCAGGGGACATTTTTTAGAAACGGTAAAAAAACGGCCCTGCCGCTTCCGGGGCTCAAAAAACTCTCGACTGCAATGCAAACTGTAGGGTTCGACGCGTGTGCGTTGCTGTCGATTGCAAGGGGTGGGCCCCAACCTGGCGCGCTCGGGTGCGAGCGTAAAAACGCGATGCGGATGCCGACGCGAGGTCAAGCTCATCCCACAAGAAAAATCCCCCGACACCCTTTGGCCCAGCACCAAAGGTCACTCCGGCGAAGGGTCCCTCTTGCGTGCAGCCGGCCCTCGTGCATCCGCGATGGCAAATTTTTGGGGCCGGTCGAGGCTGCTCTCGGGCCGCCTTCCTGCCGTCTTCGATCCACCCGCGGCTGCTGCCCCGCCGATGCCGCTCGCCGAGGGCCGTGGACGCATCTGGCCACGGACGCGGTCCTGAAGCTGCGACCTGCCCGAGCGCACCCGGCCACCGCCTCCTCTGGCCGCCCCCCGGGACTCCGGGCGACCCCGGGGACAGCCGCCACGGCGCCCCGCGGCCCTTGGCCCCCCCGGGGGGGCAGGAGCCGCAGAGGAAGGGGCCCACGAGCACACAAATGGATGCACACAAATATTAGCAGGAGTCCCATTCTTTGTGTCCGTCTTTTCTGGGCTTCTGTCTTCCCCCCACTTTTCCCAGATCTTCCCATATTTTCCTGGGAGTCGACGATTCATTGTGTCCGTGTGTTTCTTCCCCTCCTGAGCAAGAGGGCGACCACGGCGACGACGACGACGACGACGACGGGGGCCGCACCGACTGAGGCAGGCTCGCGCCGTGGCGGCTTGCGCGCCGGCGTCTGACACCGCGTGGCCTGTGCAAGCTTGAGCTGGCGGCGAGCGAGGGGGGGAAGCGAGCAGGGGCGGGCCTCCTCAGGCGGGCCTCCCCAGAAGGCGCGAGGGAGGGCTCCCGAGAGGCCCCGCCGCCCTCTGAGGGGGCCTTCCTTCTCCTTCTCGCTTCCCCCCCTCGCTCGCCGCCGAGCTCAAGCCTGAGCCATCGCGGCCGTCCGACAGCCAGGATCGCCCGACATCGGCCGGAGGAGGAGGAGGAGGAGGAGGAGGAGGAGGAGGAGGAGGAGGAGGAGGAAGACTGGGCCACCGCGCGACGGCTCAGCCTGCAGCGCCCGCGATGCGGCCGCCTTCGCCGCCGCGCCCGCACGGCGCGAGCCTGCTGGGCACAGCCAAGCCACTGCCACGAGCAGCCCTACAGTCGGGGCGTTGACCTAAGGAACCCTAAATAAGGAACGAGGCCCCTTTCCACCATAAGTCAAACTTCGATTTCCGATCGGAAACATAAGGAACACCTGAGGCAAGCTGTGAAACACTTACGGAACGCGGAGCCCCTCCCCAACGAAAAGGGTTCTTTCTTCAGCGCCCCGACTGTACGCGAGGAACCGATCGACCTCGCCCCAGGACGGCCCGGGTGCCCGAGGAGCGCCAGAGGAGCAGCCATGGAGAGGCAAAGGCCCAGACATCCTCCGGCCTGATTTGTCCGATGCGCGGCCGCAAGAAGTCCCGACCCCTTCCCCAGAGACAGCTCTTCGCACTCGCAGGAGGAGGAGGAGGAGGAGGAGGAGGAGGAGGAGGAGCAGGAGGAGGAGGAGGAGGAGGAGCAGGAGGAGGAGGAGGAGGAGGAGGCCTTCTTCTCGTCGCCCTCCTTCTCCTCGGACGGAGACTTCAGTGGCACCCTTTTCTGGACAGACGGGGCGCGCGCTGAGCCCTGCCGAGGAGCGGTGCCTCGCGGCGCCTGCGCGAACGGGGGGCGAGCGCGCAGGGCCGAGGGCGCGCGGGAGGCGGGGGCCGGTGCGAGGACGGCCCTCTCCCCCAGGGGAGAGGGAGGGAGGGAAGAGAGGGAGGAGCAGCGAGGATCCAGGAGAGAGGAGAGGGAAGAGGAAGAGGAGGAGGAGGAGGAAGAGGAGGGGGAGAAGGAGGGGGAGGAGGAGGGGGAAGGGGAGGGGGAGCATCGATGATCCTCAGGACGTGTGCTTGTCCACCTAAGCCCCTCGATGCGAAGCATTCGGTGAAAGTAGGGCCAGCACACCCTGCGGGCTAATTACTGGCGCAGCTGAATGGGTCAACATCCACATTGAGCTGTCACGCGTCCTGAAGACAATCGAGAGGGAGAGGAGGAACAGGAGGAAGAGGAGCGAGGAGGGAGGAGGAGGAGGAGGAGATCGACGGGGAGGAACAGGAGGAGAAGGGGTGTCGAAGGAGGAAAGAGGTAGAGAGGGGGGGGACGAGGAGTCGAGACATGGAAAGGACGGAGGAAGAGGGGAGGGGAGATGGGGGAGGATGGGCCGCCCTGCCGCACGCGCTTCCGGCGCTCCGACTTGACATTAAAGATTGGCGCCCAGAAGGGGCCACCATCAGGGCAATCAGTGCATCAGAAGCGCCTGGACGGAGCGGGGCAAGTGTCGCCGCACCCCGGCCAGGTCTTTCCCAAGCAGAGAGGCCAGCGCCACCGAGCCAACCGACGACGCTCACGACACCGCGGGGGCGCCAGGAAGGCAACGACCACGTGCTGCGACAACGACCACGCCGACGTGGACACCATGACGCCCAACGACAACGCCAAACCGAGGGCAACCCTAACGTGCAACGACAACGGTAGCGAGCCCAGACCACCAATGTCGGGAATTTGTTGATTTACGACACGCGCCCCTATTATTCTCGACTCCATCCATCCCAGAAGCCAACTGTTCATCGTGGATCGATTTTGGGATGGCATTCGGGCCCGATGTCGACGCTGAAGGCCTTGATTTGCGAACAAACAAATCGGTATCCGTTTCCTGACGCTGCAGAAATCTGGGTCTCCCGCAGAAGCACGACAAGGTCTGGGCGGTCGCGTGGACTGGGATCGCGCGGGCTCGGGCCCGCTGAGGGAGACATTCCAGAGCAAGGCAACACCTCCCCGATAACCAGCCAAGTCTCGGGAACTTCAGGCGGCTTCAGGCGGATCATTGTTTGCCATGAAGATCAGCATGCGACAAACAAAAATGAGGGTGAGCGCGGGCCCCATACATAAATCACATGTATCTACGCGCTTTGTGGGCCCCGGAAACGGCAGGGCCGTTTTTTCACCGTTTCCCCAAAAATGTCCTTTGAAAATGGGAACGGAAAAAAACGGCGACCGGAAACGGCAAAAAAAACGGCTCCAGGATTGGAACCGGAGCCGGAACCGGTCAAACAACGGCGACGGAATCGGTAAAAAAACGGCGTCGGAACCGGTAACAAAAACAGCAAAACGGAAGCGGTAACAAAAACGGCCCTGTCGTTTCCAGGGCCCACTCAGTCTACGCGTTCATCCTGCTGTCAACCTACTGCTGCTGTTCCTCCTGCATCATGCGCAGGGGCTGCAGGGTGTGCTTCTCCAGCGGCGGCGCGCTGGCTGGGGCGGCCTCCTCGGGCACGGCTTGCGCAACAGAGATGGCCCTAGACCCTGGACCGAAGAGGGCCGGCATCTCGCCATCGGTGCCTGGTCGACGGCGACTCCCCCATCGGACCTGCATGAAAAAAAAACTCTGTTTGAGGGCTCCCAGATTGGGCTGGAGCAGATGGGGTCGGAGGATCGCCCCCCACGCCGATGCACCGCCGGGCCGATGCACCGTCGATGCATCAGCGACGGCAGAATGGAGAAGAACCAGCATCAGATCGCGATTTATCGCCGACGCATCAGTGATGGGGCGCGATCCTTCGGCGGTGGACAAACCTCCCTTTAGTAGACCTCCCCTTAGTGAAAACGACCTGGGACCGAAACCGACAGACCTGGACCCGCAGAAACGACGACCGCGACGCCCTCTCGCGAACCGAAAACGGCCAATTCTTAATCGACGTGTTAGGGTAGGAAATCTGTCCATCCCCGGATCCTCGACCACATGTACTCTGGCCCCATTGGGAGGCCTGAGGTTGAGCCTGGAGGTCCCACGGGCTGGAGACCTCCGGGCTGTGTCCTTGGGCTCTCCAGAGGTCATGAGGGGGCTCGGGCCCTTTTCTCGTGGGCTGCTTCGGATAGGCAGCAGCAGGAGGCGCGAGGGAGACAATGCAAACATCAGACAACTGTCCACCATCGAGAATTGGCAAGCACTCGCGCCTCAGGGCCGTCATCGTCCTGACTCGCACCTGGAATGATGCCAACATCATCCAAAGCGAAAGCGGGGAGTCGACAGGCAAACCTGTCGCAAGGCCGTCATCGTCCTTTCCTCCCGCGTGAGACGGGGTCGCTGGCATGTCCTCTCAAATTTCTGAGACCTGAAGCCCGTACCCAGTGGAACCTACTCCTAAGCGGGAGGCACCCCAAGGGATTCAACAAATCGCGAGTCCTATACAGTCGGACTTGGTTGGACAGGACACGCGAGAGGACCCAAGACCCTTCGGAGGGCCACATTGCCACAGGAATGTGAGAGGCATGGGTCGCGAGACACAAGACACAAGAGTGCCCTTGATTTGGTAGGGTCGCCCTACTAATCCGGGCCGACTGTATACAGTCGGGCCGCTGAAGGAAGGAACGCTAAATAAGGAAGGACGCCCCTTCTTGGCCCTGCAAGCGCCTCCGTGCCCCAGGAGGGCAAAAGGAACAGCACTGGAGTAACCTAAGGAACATCGAGCCCCTTCCGAACCCAAACCGTTCCTTATCTCAGCGTCTTGCCTGTACGAGCAGCCGATGCCGCTGCATCGCTGCCTCCAGCGCCAAAAGCCCGGGAGCTAGCGCCGAGGAGCGGGAGGCCGCCCCCGCCGCGGGCCGAGAGGGCGGGGGGGCAGGAGGAGGGCGATTAGCCAGACAGTCAGAAACACACACACACACACACACACACACACACACACACACGCACACACGCACGCACGCACGCACGCACGCACGCACGCACGCACGCACGCACGCACGCACGCACGCACGCACGCACACACACACACACACACACACACCCGACCATTGCGACGGCACACCTCTGATGAGCCTGTTTTCCACCACCACCACCGTAAGTTCGAGGGGGAGGGAGGAGGAGGAGGACGAAGAGGAGGAGGATGAGGCGGAGGAGGAGGCGGAGGGAGGATGAGGCGGAGGAGGAGGAGGAGGAGGACCCCCTCCCCATACCCCTCCAATGTACGGTGGTGGAAAACAGGCCCATCATCCTCCCTCTACTCATCTTCTCTCTCTATTCCTCCGTGCTCCCCCGAGGGTTGCCACAGCGGCTGAGGGAGCACATAGTCCAACAGCATGAAAAGAAACGGGCCAAAAATTTGGCCACATAGGCGTTTCCGACTGCAAGGTTCGACGTAACCGTCTTCGAAATCAAGCGAGAAACGCATTCTCAAAATGACCCGGCCTCACCCTCCACCCGCGCATCTCTTGGACACACGAATAAACATGATACTTGCGGCACCGTCATGTAAAACAAACAAATCTTGAAACCAAGCTGCACTCCACCCGTATAAGCTGCACTCCACCCGCGTAGCTACTGCGTTCGAAGACGAAGAAGATGTGCGCAACACAAAGAAAAAAAAACGCGTTGTGGAAGCGGCCGAACCTCCATCCGTGTGGATGCCGGAACTGCTTAGGACGCAACTGCGCAGGGCCAAGGCGATAGAAACACGTGAAAAAACAATCGCCATCCGTCCGTGCAGCTGCTGACTTCGAGAGAGCCCCATGTAAAGACGGCCCGCCCTCACTCCGTGCGATTCTCAAGCACCTCGGGCCTCGGGGCCACACGGGGGATGCACGGCTCGTCCTGCCAGCACGCCCGGTGGGGCGACGAGGATAGAACAGAGGCGTCTGCAGGCGCCGCCCCTCCTCTGCTCTCGTCGCCCTCTCCCCTCCTGCCCTTGGACAGCGTCCAACGACGTCTCGGACAAAGAAACATCGACCTCCTCCTCCTCCACCTCCTCCTCCTCCTTCCTCCCTCCTCCTCCTCCTCCTCCTCCTCCTCCTCCTCCTCCTCCTCCTCCTCCTCCTCCCTCCTCCTCCTCCTCCTCCTCCTCCTCCTCCTCCTCCTCTCCTCCTCCTCCTCCTCCTCCTCCTCCTCCTCCTCCCTCCTCCTCCTCCTCCCTCCCTCCCCCTCCTCCTCCTCCTCCCCCCTCCTCCCCCCTCGGTCGAAGGTTCGCCCGGACTGCTCGGGTCGGCGCCCGAGCACCCCCGCCATGGGCGCGCCGATGGAGCGCGCCGACGGGGCGGCCCGAGGAATGGGCCCCGTGGCCGACCCCGGCAGCGCGCGCGGGACTCTGAGGGGTTCTGCGCGGATTGAAGGGGCTCCAGGACACACAAGTAAATACACACAAATAAAAATACTCCCCATGTTTTCCCATATTTTCTGGGTTTCTGTCTTCCCCCCCACTTCCCATGTTTTCCCATATTTTCCTGGGGATCGATGATCATAGCCGGAGTGCAGTATCCCAAAACAGGGTTTTTAGACCCACTGCGGTTTCCAAGGTCGATTGCGTGCCCGCCTAGTGCGGGCTGGCATGGCATGTTAAAACATGTCTCCTCATCCTCCTCCTCCTCGTCCACCTCCTCTTCATCCCGAAAGGCATCTCGGAACCCAGAGTTGCGAGGATGTCTCCAGCGTAACGGGCTGGACCACCTCGCGCGCGGCATTTCGGACCCCAGAGTTGCGACGATGTCTCGGGCAAAACGTGCTGCGAGGAAGTCTCAGGCGAAACGGGCCGGACCACCTCGAGCGCGGCGTCTCAGAGCTCCGAGTTGCGGGGGCCTCCTGGTGCCTCCTGGGGGGGCCTCCTGGGGACCTCCTGGGGCTTCCTCCTGGGCCTCCTGTGGCCTCCTGAACTCCACCTGAGGTTTCCTGAAGCATCTTGGGGCTCCCAGGGGGGATATCTAACCTGTGGCCGTTTGGGCCTCTCTAAATAATTACAGGGGGGGGGCCACAGGAGGAGGAAAAATCAACGAATCGACACCGGATGTGCATTAACTTGACACGTTCTGATAGAGGGCCTCCTGGGGCCTCCTGGGAGCCTCCTGGGAATCTCCTGCGGACCCCTGGGGCCTGTCCTGGGCGTCCTGCGGCCTCCTGAAGCTCTCTGGGACCTCCCCCTCCTCCTGCCTGCTCCCTCATGCACATCATCCGCCTCCTCCTTCTCCCTTCCATCCTCCTCCTCCTCCTCCTCCTCCTCCTCCTCCTCCTCCTCCTCCACCTCCTCTTCATCGCGAACGGCATTTCGGAGCCTAGAGTTGCGAGGATGTCTCCAGCGTAACGGGCTGGACCACCTCGCGCGCGGCATCTCGGACCCCAGAGTTGCGACGATGTCTCGGGCGAAACGTGCTGCGAGGAAGTCTCAGGCGAAACGGGCTGGACCACCTCGAGCGCGGCGTCTCAGAGCTCCGAGTTGCGGGGGCCTCCTGGTGCCTCCTGGGGCCTCCTGGGGACCTCCTGGAGCTTCCTCCTGGGCCTCCTGTGGCCTCGTGAACTCCACCTGGGGTTTCCTGAAGCCTCTTGGGGCTCCCAGGGGGGATATCTAACCTGTGGCCGTTTGGGCCTCTCCAAATGGAGGGGGGGGCACAAGAGCAGGAAAAATCAACGAATCGACACCGGATGTGTATTAACTTGACACGTTCTGATAAGCGGCCTCCTGGGGCCTCCTGGGAGCCTCCTGGGAATCTCCTGGAGACCCCTGGGGCCTGTCCTGGGCGTCCTGCGGCCTCCTGGTGCCTCCTGGGCCTCCTGGGGACCTCCTGGAGCTTCCTCCTGGGCCTCCTGTGGCCTCCTGAACTCCACCTGAGGTTTCCTGAAGCATCTTGGGGCTCCCAGGGGGGATATCTAACCTGTGGCCGCTTGGGCCTCTCCAAATGCAGGGGGGGGCACAAGAGCAGGAAAAATCAACGAATCGACACCGGATGTGTATTAACTTGACACGTTCTGATAGAGGGCCTCCTGGGGCCTCCTGGGAATCTCCTGGGGGCCCCTGGGGCCTGTCCTGGGCGTCCTGCGGCCTCCTGGACCTCTCTGGGGCCTCCTGAGGCTCGCAGGGTCCCATGGAGGATATGTAACATGTGGCCTTCTGGGCCCCCAGGCTGGACCACCTCTTGCGCAGCATCTGAGAGCTCAGAGTTGCGAGAATATCTTGTGCGAAACAGGCCGGACCACCTTGCGCACGGCATCTCAGATCTCAGAGTTGCAAGGATTTCTCAGGCGAGACGGGCCGGACCACCTCGCGCAGGGCATCTCAGAGCTCAGAAGTTCGAGGATGTCTCAGGCGAAACGGGCCGGACCACCTCGCGCGCGGCATCGGGGAGATCAGAGTTTCGAGGATGTCTCAGGCGAAACGGGCCGGACCACCTCGCGCGCGGCATCTTGGAGCTCAGAGTTGCGAGGATGTCTCAGGCGAAACGGCCCGGACCACCTCTCGCGCGGCATCTGGGAGCTCAGAGTTTCGAGGATGTCTCAAGCGAAACGGCCCGGACCACCTCTCGCGCGGCCTCTCAGAGCTCAGATTTAGGAGGATGTCTCAGGCGAAACGCTCAATCCCGGACAACTCAGAAACGAGAGTTGTGAGGATGTCTCAGGCGAAACGGGCCGGACCACCACATTTGTTTGAGGATGTCTCTGCTTAGCTTTCCCTCGGCCGGAATTAGCTTCTATCACAACAGCACCCCGTTCAGCAAGCTGTTTGGGGAATTAATTGTGTCTGTGTGCTTTTTCCCTCCCTGACGGATGCCGAGGTGTGTGTCCTCCGACGGTGGGGCGACGGGGAAGCGCGGCATCGCTACGGAGGGAAGGTCGAAGTCCCTCCCTCCCCGCCCAGACGGTGCCAAAGGTGAACAGCCTCGAGATGTTTGATCCTCATTCCCTGAGATGGGCGAGCAAACAGCGAGGACAGTGTTAGGGACGTGCCCTCTGAAACCGAGGGAATCCTTGAGATTGGCATCGAGGTGAGGTGATACCAAACACAGGGATAGGGATATGCTTCAAACTGGCAAAATTTGGACGCCCAAAATGGGTACAGAAAGAATGGGTACAATTCCCAACAACAAATGTTGTCCCGAATGCTGTTGGGCAGGCGGCCTTCTGTCTCGAATGGACACAGGCCACGGCGGCCTGGCCAGCGAATCCTGTTCAAAATGAACAGGAACTGCTGTTGGCATCGTACCCATTGTTTACGTACCCATTCCGTTCGTGCCGAAAAAGCGGGCTCGCCGCCATGGGGGTCGCGGCCTCCTCCAGGGAACGGGCCAGGTCGGACCCCCCCAAAACGGCCCACGTTTCCCGAGGACGCCCAAGAACGTCCCAACTTAGTTTCCCCGATACGCAACACGTAACATGGAGCTCAACACGTAGACAGAAAACGTAGGTCTGACGCGATACGTTCGCCAAAACGTGGGCCAATACGTTGAACCAACACGCAATGTATTGGCACGGACGTTCTGAACACGATACGTATTGCGTGTCAAAGCGGGCGTATCGAGGCAGCTAGGCGTCCCAAACATCCCCGATCAGTGGTCTTTCATCCTCCTCGATCCGTAACTTCAAGGAGGAAGTGGTGACACCCTTGGTGGCGCCCCCCCCCCCCTTCGGCACTGCCCGATCGTTCCCCCTTTCCCCCTGAGGGGGAATTCGGAACCGGCCAAGAGGGGGGTGTCCAAGAGGGGGGGGCGCAAATCATGACCGGCGGCACGTGCGCGGCCCAGCGGGGGGGCCAGAGACGTAATGACATAAGTAAAGGCGCCATACCCCCTGTTTTCCGCCCCCGAGGAATGCCAGGGCGGATCAACCTCGGGGGGATGAACATGGCATCGGCGATACCTCGCCGGCTCACATACGCGATCCTCCCCATAGGGGGAGCCGCCCATGCCGTGGACGGGTGGGCCATCAGGCCCGTATCGGAGATGCTTGGGGGATCCGGGGTCGATGCGCCCCCCCTTCCCTGCCCCCCCCCTTAAGGTTCCCCTTCGCCTGCTGCGCCCTCTCCCCGGGCAGGGCGCGCTCCTTTCTGGACCAGGGCAGGGCGGAGCTGAGCTTCGACACGAAGCTGACGGCCGCCTGCCGGGAGGGGGCCGGCGTCGCCAAGACAAACAGCAGGAAACACAGGATCAGCATCAATCATTCGAGTAGGGGGTCGACAAATTACAAAAATAATTTGAATCATAAGCGATTTTCTCCATCGCGTGTACAACAAATACGTAAAATGCTCCTACACCGGCAGGGGAAGCGATGTACTTCCCGCAGGTTCGATGGGACAACCCATTTTGGGATACGGCTGCTTCGTGTCGTGTCGACCCCGGCGTTGGTTCCTGACACCGCGGGGGTTTTTCAACCTCGAATTATGGGCCTTTTCGGAAAGCTCAAATCGTTCAACATCGACCGACTCTGGGTCGCCGGCGGCGCTCAAAGCTGAACGCCGACGGCGGGGTCGGCGTCGGTCGGCACGACGCGAACCCGCCGTAGATGAATTCGATCGTCAGTTCCCCACTCGAACCACGAGCGCGCGGGCACAGCTCCTTGACGTTGGTGCGGGCAATACTTATATCCACATCCAGTGCGTCTTGGATGTTCTTGGGAGGGGCGCCGCGAGGGCTAGGCGCACTGGATATGGAAAAATCGAACCTTTCGGGGCCAGATCTGAATCCATATCCAGTGCGCCTCATGTCTTCGGGTAAGAAGCCCGAAACTCCAAGACGCACTAGATGCGGATATGGACGTTGCCCGCAGTCGGCGATGCTCGCCGTGAGGCGACGGCAGGGCACGCGAGGTTTCAAAGGGCCCTCTCCGGGGCCCCAGCGCCGGCCTCGGCGTTTCCACGAAAGCGCTGGCCACGGCACCCTCTGCGAGGCGAGTTCTAGAAGCCCTGATCGGCGGAGGAGGAGGACCAGGAGGAGGAAGAAAAGGAGGAGGAGGAGGAGGAGGAGGAGGAGGAGGAGGAGGAGGGGGGAGGGGAGGGGGAGGAGTTTTTTTTTGCCCGCAAGGGGTAAAACAAAACGCCGAACATGGCGCGGGCGAGCATGCCAACGGGCGCCGCACGCGCCGCCGCGGCCGCGGCGCGCCGCGGGCCGCGGGGCGTTCACGGCGTAGGCGGGCCTCCCACAAGCGGGCGGCATGGGAATGGCAAGCCAGCTCCAGCGACCCGTTTTGCCGGCCGGAAGCGCCCGACCACCGACGGAGAGGGCAGGGGCCAGGCAACGCCAAATCCCCGCCACCCACCCCAGGGACCCGCCACGACACGACAGACGCGACAGCGACGGCGACGACACGACGGGGGGAAGACGGACCCCTGGCACACGACTCCCACGGGGGACACCTGGCTGGGAAGCCAGGCTCCCGTGGGAGACTGCGTGGCCAGGGGCCCCCTGGGAAGGGACCCCGCTTCGGGGGCCATCCCAGGTGCGGGAGAGGAGGAGGAGGAGGACGAGGAGGAGGAGGCAGGAGGGAGGAGGCGGGGGGGGGAGGAGTTACGGAGTTACGGGTATAGCGACTAGGTCGGTAACTGAGCGCAGCTCATAATTGCTGCTTTTGTTCCCCACATGCTTCGTGGGGTTATGGTTTTCTTCCCTGCCGCGCCGCACCCGCGACACACACCTCACTCTTCGCACAGCACAACTCAGCTCAGCACAGCACAGCACATCACAGCACAGCTCAGCTCAGCACGCAGCTCAGCTCAGCTCAGCACACAGCACAGCTCAGCACAGCTCAGCACAGCCCAGCACGGCTCAGCTCATCACAACACAGCAGAGCTCGTGGCACTGGCGCAAAGCCTAGCAAACGTGGCACTTTCTCGACCCCACAGAGGGTGCGCAAGGGGTGGTCTCTCAGCTCGGTCGCTATCCACGACCGACACCACAGGGGGTGCGCAGGGGGTGGTCCCTGAGCGCGGCCGCTATCCGCGCCAGCCGTCCAGGCATAGCAGGCGTGGCACTTTCTCGACACCACAGGGGGTGCGCAGGGGGTGGTCCCTGAGCGCGGCCGCTATCCGTGCCAGTCGTCCAGGCATAGCAGGCGTGGCACTTTCTCGACACCACAGGGGGTGCGCAGGGGGTGGTCCCTGAGCGCGGCCGCTATCCGTGCCAGTCGTCCAGGCATAGCAGGCGTGGCACTTTCTCGACACCATAGGGGGTGCGCAGGGGGTGGTCCCTGAGCGCGGCCGCTATCCGTGCCAGTCGTCCAGGCATAGCAGGCGTGGCACTTTCTCGACACCATAGGGGGTGCGCAGGGGGTGGTCCCTGAGCGCGGCCGCTATCCGTGCCAGTCGTCCAGGCATAGCAGGCGTGGCACTTTCTCGACACCATAGGGGGTGCGCAGACACCATAGGGGTGCTGGCAAGGGGGTGGTCCCTGAGCGCGGCGCGATCGTCGTCCAGGCATAGCAGGCGTGGCACTTTCTCGACACCATAGGGGGTGCGCAGGGGGTGGTTCCTGAGCGCGGCCGCAGTCGTCCAGGCATAGCAGGCGTGGCACTTTCTCGACACCACAGGGGGTGCGCAGGGGGTGGTCCCTGAGCGCGGCCGCTATCCGTGCCAGTCGTCCAGGCAAAGCAGGCGTGGCACTTTCTCGACACCATAGGGGGTGCGCAGGGGGTGGTCCCTGAGCGCGGCCGCTATCCGTGCCAGTCGTCCAGGCATAGCAGGCGTGCCAGCCGTCCAGTGCGTCCAGCAAGCGTGGCACTATCTCGAAGCCGCAGGGGGTGCGCAAGGGATGGTCCCTGAGCGCGGCCGCTATCCGTGCCACTCGTCCAGGCATAGCAGGCGTGGCATTCTCTCGACACCATAGGGGGTGCGCAGGGGGTGGTCCCTGAGCGCGGCCGCTGCCCTTGCCAGTCGTCCAGGCAAAGCAGGCGTGGCACTTGTTCGACACCATAGGGGGTGCGCATGGGGGGTGGTCCCTGAGCGCGGCCGCTGTCCGTGCCAGTCGTCCAGGCATAGCAGGCGTGGCACTTTTTCGACACCACAGGGGGTGCGCAGGGGGTGGTCCCTGAGCGCGGCCGCTATCCGTGCCAGTCGTCCAGGCATAGCAGGCGTGGCACTTTCTAGACACCATAGGGGTGCGCAGGGGGTGGTCCCTGAGCGCGGCCGCTATCCGTGCCAGTCGTCCAGGCATAGCAGGCGTGGCACTTTCTCGACACCACAGGGGGTGCGCAGGGGGTGGTCCCTGAGCGCGGCCGCTATCCGTGCCAGTCGTCCAGGCATAGCAGGCGTGGCACTTTCTCGACACCATAGGGGGTGCGCAGGGGGTGGTCCCTGAGCGCGGCCGCTATCCGTGCCAGTCGTCCAGGCATAGCAGGCGTGGCACTTTCTCGACACAATAGGGGGTGCGCAGGGGGTGGCCCCCGAGCGCGGCCCCTATCCGTGCCAGTCGTCCAGGCATAGCAGGCGTGGCACTTTCTCGACACCATAGGGGGTGCACAGGGGGTGGTCCCTGAGCGCGGCCGCTATCCGTGCCAGTCGTCCAGGCATAGCAGGCGTGGGACACCAGCAGGGGGTGGTCCCTGAGCGCGGCCGCTATCCGTGCCAGTCGGCAGGCAGGGGGTGCGCAGGGGGTGGTCCCTGAGCGCGGCCGCTATCCGTGCCAGTCGTCCAAGCATAGCAGCGTGGCACTTTCTAGACACCATAGGGGGTGCGCAGGGGGTGGTCCTTGAGCGCGGCCGCTATCCGTGCCAGCCGTCCAGGCATAGCAGGCGTGGCACTTGCTCGACACCATAGGGGGTGCGCAGGGGGTGGCGAGCGCGGCCCTATCCGTGCCAGTCGTCCAGGCATAGCAGGCGTGGCACTTGCTCGACACCATAGGGGGTGCGCAGGGGGTGGTCCCTGAGCGCGGCCGCTATCCGTGCCAGTCGTCCAGGCATAGCAGGCGTGGCAGGGGGTGCGCATCTCACTGAGCGCGGCCGCTATCCGTGCCAGTCGTCCAGGCATAGCAGGCGTGGCACTTTCTCGACACCATAGGGGGTGCGCAGGGGGTGGTCCCTGAGCGCGGCCGCTATCCGTGCCAGTCGTCCAGGCATAGCAGGCGTGGCACTTTCTCGACACCATAGGGGGTGCGCAGGGGGTGGTCCCTGAGCGCGGCCGCTATCCGTGCCAGTCGCCCAGGCATAGCAGGCGTGGCACTTTTTCGACACCACAGGGGGTGCGCAGGGGGTGGTCCCCGAGCGCGGCCCCTATCCGTGCCAGCCGCCCAAGCATAGCAGGCGTGGCACTTTCTCGACACCATAGGGGGTGCACAAGGGGTTGTCCCTGAGCGCGGCCGCTATCCGTGCCAGTCGCCCAGGCATAGCAGGCGTGGCACTTTCTAGACACCATAGGGGGTGCGCAGGGGGTGGTCCCTGAGCGCGGCCGCTGGCTGGCTCGAATCTGTCCTTGATGGAGGATAGAAGGCTAGGAAGAGGGAGGAGGTTCAAGCAATACGGCGTTGGATGACACAGAGGGGAACATTCGCGACGAGGGCTGAGAACGCAGAATTGCGCATATATTATAAACTTAAGCAAGCACATAAGATTTAAATTGAGTATGTGGGGTTCCTCGGTAGCGTAATTTCGGGACTCGCCTGGCTACTTCGGTATTGCCATAAACCTTCGGCCGGAGACCCCGCTCGATACGACTCAAGTAACCCATGCGATTACGAGTTCAAACCAGCTTAGGATCACACTCATCTCCAAGCTTCACTGGCTGCTGAGCTGCGAAGCTACCACACGATGTACAGAACCAAAGCCTCAGCCCCAAGTGAAATTTTAAAGCGTGGTTTTCGTGAGCGCCCCCCCCCCCCCCCCCGAGATATGCAGCGCGCCCCCGGGAGGTAGCTGACGAATTTCACTACCTATGTTAATTAAGTCGAAACGCGGTGAGCTCAGCCACGCGCCCTTCTTTGCGAGTGAGGTCGGCCCCTATCTGCGAACGCAACTACGACAGTCGTGTCCAAGTCGGCGCTGGGAGGAAACAGTGGCACAAACGCTGCTTGCGGGAGGTCTATCCATCTGGGAACTCGCTCGACGGTGCCTTCTCATGCCCTCAGCCTTGGCCAAGGCTGTTTCTGCTGGAGCAGTTTCTAGCGTGCTCTGCA